AGATGTGGATCTGCCTCTGCTCATCTGCTGTGTGGTTGTGGGCTTGTGGCCAAATGCGCAGCGCTTGCGGTGCTTATATAGCATGGAAATGGCCAGCTGGGAGAGAGGGGCAAGCTTTGCCTACTTGCGCATATCATAAGCTCATAATAACCCGGTGATCGCGATTTGAGAGAGAGAGGGAGGCTGGCATGGCAGTGGCAGATACCCAGTTACCCACCCCTCGCTGCTCCCGGAGGCCACGGCCACATGCTGCAGCAGCTGCCGGCATCTTCCTCCAGGTTGCGTGCGCGAACTCCGATGGCGCTCCAGGGGACACTGCCTCCGGGGAGCCAGTGCATAGCCCTCCGGACACCGAATCGTCGGCCGCGTGATACAGATGCACGGCCTGTCAATTCCACTTCTGGCTTCTTCTTCCCAGCTGGGGTTCATCCGTGTGCGTGCGTGCGTGCATAGAATTAGTAGCCTTTCGCTGCGGAGCAGTCCGGTCGGATCTCGCGGTTATATATGTATGTGCTCGTGTTAAGCTGGTGGATCAGCATTGTACAGTGTGTTCCATTCCATGAGAAATATAGGCTGATGCCTGTAAGTAGTACACACATGAGCTTGCATCAGATTTAGGAGCTCTCTGTTTCCTTGTTATCTTGAGCAACTTTGCTATCACTAATTCACCATCAGTTTTCTTCCGGTGAGGTGAGGTGCATATGCAGGTCGATGGTGTGCATCACAATGCCGAGGGCTGGGGATGGGAATTATCTCTGAGCTGATCATAACAAGTCTTGTAACTTCAGCAAGCATAACCGTAATCGCAAAACAACAGTGCACGATGGAAAACATAAAACCGGCCACACATGTGCAGACTATATTCGGTGCTCGGAAAGGCCATTAAACATCCGGTGTATTGTCGCGGTGTGAAGGTACGGCGATCCTGGGGAATGAAATCCCAAGTGCCACATGCATTTGCCGTACTATGGAGTAGCTAATGATGGGCGAAGGACAGCTCCATTCTTGTTGCGGATTTTCATCGCACAAGATGCTCCTGTCCAGCTAACTACTGTGATAGCATCTTTCAACAGTCCTATGATATCATATGTGTGATGAGCCGTGATGCTACCTAATCCTAGTCATCTGACTGATTCTTGGGACAAGGAATCATATCTAGGAGACATTAAGTTTTGGCAACACAAAACCACTAACCGCTCGTTTTGACGCCGTTCCGACCGGTGGGACCCGCTCTCTGTAAGCCGGTTGCTGCAGGATATACATTGTGCCGGTGAGAAATGGCGGGAAAAAAAACAACAGGGTATGGATTGTGAATTTTAGATAAGCTGCTCCTCTTTAACTCTGCAAAAGAAGAGGGGCGAAGAAAGTACAGCAAGTGGTTGCATTGCAGGATAAGCATCTCTAACACGGCCTACACTGGACCAAACAAATTATAGAACAGCACGCTTACAGCACGACCCAGCCAATTTGTACTTGAATAATACGACCCCTGAGTTAAGCAAAGCATCTCGTGCAAGACGGATTTGTGAACTGTGGCTAGCTGCTACATATAATTGTCTTGCGACGGAAGTCCGTCAAAGATCATTGGATGGATGGCATGTATCCGTTCTCAGGAGCAACATTTAATCGAATATTTGCTGAGAAGATATTGGGGTCAGATGTCTGAAGATAGTGGCGCATATCACCTGATGAGATCTTCCAGGCCTGTCCTTACAGTGAGCCGTGCTTCTAGAAAAATCAAGTCCAAGATCAAGAGCCAGAGGCAGGTCATTTGCAGCAACAATGCTGCAGGTATGCAGGTACCTCGAAGCTTCTCATTGTTGTGGTCAGTGCTTATAGCATGATATTTTCCGGTGAAACTTATAGCTTGATATTTCTTTAGGACTTGCGTGTACACTCCTGTTGTGCGACTACCAATTGTACAAAGGATATGTACCTTCTATAATTCTCGGCATCGGGTTAATTTCCAAAATGTTGGACTAACAAGAATGCAAGTGCCAATCTTCCCCCAAAAAACACATGTAACAATGCACACATTTTTCTGAGTAAAGCATGCAGTCAGCGTCGTGGAATGTTACCATACATTCACTTAGCTAGAAATGATGTCCTTTTTTTTCGCGGGAAGCCAGAAACGAGGTCAAACTAGATGAAGAACAGAACAACTATGGTAGGGTCAGAGAGGAGAAGAGCAGAGTTGCATCTGTTAGCAGTGGTAGCAGAGGAGCGTGACGACACGTCGGCGGATGACGTAGAGCCTGGCCTTGTGCTCCCTCGGCATCATGCTCAGCCCTCCTCCTGATCCTCCACTCTGCGTGTCATGGCTCTCCACCTTATTCATCCTGGCTGAACTCGTTGAGCAGGAAGGCCACTCACTGCTACCGGATGGATGTGCCTCCGCTGTGGTTGTGGCCAAGTGTGCAGCATTTGCCGTGCTTATATACTCCCTCCGTCCGGAAATACTTGTCATCAAAATGAATAAAAGGGGATGTATCTAGATGTATTTTAGTTCTAGATACATTCCTTTTTGTCTATTTTGATGACAAGTATTTTCGGACGGAGGGAGTAGCATGGAAATGACCAGATGGCTCTAAGACAGGCCCTCTCACTCACATGATCCTCACATATTTGCCTAGTTGCACGTATAAAAACCTGATGAGACTTTGGGTAGAGAGAGTTGGGCCATATACCCCTTGTGGTTGGCTTACTTCTCTAGCAGAGAGACACGAATTCTGAAACACCCTTCTGTTCCTCTCCTTCCATATAGCATGCAACTGAAAGGCATTCCAGCCTGCGCCGCTTTGGAGAGATGCTGTTGAGCTTGGGCCACCGAGGTCGAGGACGAACCAATGAGAGACACTTCAGGATCAGAAACTGAAAAATCAGCCAAGATTTGCCCTGCGAAGGGGCAATGGAGCAGAAGATGCACCGCAGATTCCAGTTGCTGATCGCAAAGCTTGCAATTTGGGCCATGTGGCCAGCCCCTTCTCAGAAGCCTGTCTATAGTCAAATTTTTGTTTGGAGAAGAAGCCAGTAATAGAATCGCAACTTTCCCTCAGTTTTCATCTTCCAAACTCTGTTCAGATCCGGCTCCTCAATCCTACCAATGAACTGCGCATCATAAGCAGATTTTGCCAAGTACCCTCCGTCAGCAGTCGGAATCAACTTCAGAGGATAATTACACGTTATGAATAGCTTCCCAGAGAGAAAGGAACTGCTGCAGCTCATCTTGGGAGTTCAGACTAAAGATATTCAGATGAGGCTGGGTGTTTTCTTTCTAAATGGTTACAGTTAGCTCAACTCAGCACAACGGCTCGCCACGGCGGCCGCTCGGGAATGCCTGGCGCTGCTGCCCCTCGTTGGGTGCAACGAGGACGACGCCTGCCACGACGACCGGTGGGCGGAGCTCTGCTGCTGCTTACAAACTGTCTTGGTTCGCCCACCCTGGCTGCTACACTGAAAGCATGCCGGGATGTCGCGGTGCTCTGGCGTGGGCAGTTCAAAAGTGACCGGCAGGAGCACATCGACGTCCGGCTGCACGCCCTGGCTTCTCCCCGCTAAGAATGTTTTTCTCCCCTCAAGGCTCTTCCCTCAAGCCTTTTTACTCACATCTGTAAACACTTGGGGTCTGCCCCGTTG